TCGGGTTTAAATTGAGTCGGATGATTATCGAGTCGAATTAGTCAGATAATGGGTAGGAACGAGTCATGTTATAATCAAGTCAAGTCATAAATAAGTTGGGTTTATCGAGTAGTGGGTTGAAACAGATTAGATCATAAACATATTGGGTAACAGGTTGTAAATGACTCAGCCATAACGGGTTACGGGTTTTAAACGGTTTGGTCATAACGGGCTACGGGTCGTAAACGGTTCGGTCACAATGGGTTACGGGTTGGAACGATTTAGGTTTATCGGATTTTTATCGGGTTTTAACAGTTTTCGGTTTAAAACGGGGCGGGTTACTATCGGGTTTAAATGTAATCGGTTTGGGTTGCTTTCAGTTTCGGGTTGTAACGGTTTGGCTTGATAACGGGTCGGGTTAGTAACGGTTTGCACAAATTCGGTTTAGTTCAGTTTCGGTTTGGAAAAAATTGGGTCGGGTCAGTTTTCGATTTCCAAAAAACGGGTTTAAAACAGTTCAGTTCCTTTTCGGATCGGTTCAAAACAGTCGAGTTTAACGGTTCGGGTCAGAAACTGACAGCTCTAATGATAAGTGAAAATCACCACAAACATTGAAAATGATCCAACAAGGTAAGATGTTGGTAACCACTTAGTTATCATCTTTAAAGGCCAAATAATTGCCAATTTCTTTATCTTACAAGATTTCCATTTCATTCAAGAGCAAACAACTTTTGACACCTTGTGAATAGAAATGGCCCATTTTGAAAGAGCGGGCCGCAAAAACTTGGCTAGATTCATTTCTAAGAATTATAGCACATGTTTTTTTAAACCTTTGGAAGCTACTTCACCTTCTATTATGTACCTCCAAAGTTGTTTTGGTATTTGGCAACAATTAAGACTTTATTCTTATTAGTTATACTTATTACTTTGGCTGGTTTATTATAATTGCACCATAAGGATGATGTTTTGGTCTAATGATTAAGGCTGAGGGATTGTGTACAATAAGTCATATGTTCAATCTCTCATCTTTATTTGTAATTTGTATTGTCCTTGTGACTCATTCGTACTTTTTTAAAATGACATGTAATGTAAGAAAAAGGAAAGAAGATTTAACTTGCACCACTAGCGCCATTGAGCGGTTGGAATGTTATAAGACTATACTCACCTTTTTTCTAAGGATAAGGATTGATAGAGGTGAGTAGGGTCATGTAAGAAAAATATTACTCCGTGTAAGGAACAATATGGACTCTTTGTCATAATTCAAACTAGATTAGACAAAATTAAAGATTTAAACAAGTGTTAGTGTGTTACTATAAAACAATTGTGAGCTAAGTACTAAATCTGTTTCATATAAATTACCCGTTTGTTGCAATTAATATAATATGGAGGTAATAGTTTAGTTAGTTTAAGCATTAAGGGGGATACTCAGGAATTTGGATGAAATCTCTTATACATTGTGACCTTTGCATTTGTACCCCTCTCTCTACACTATAAAAACTTACAATACAACAAAAAAAAACTTATATGACAACTAAAAATATTCGCATGGTCTCTTAGAATATATGAAAGTTTGTTGCATTAGAAGAAATGTTGTTGATGTCTGCATTCATCCCATCCAAAGCATCTAATGAGAGGAAAACAAGCAAGAAATAGGCATCTTCTTACAATTCTACTCACCACATAAAAGTGATAGCAACAACTACTCATGGCTGATGCATCTTCATTTAGACTACCCTTTTCATTATCACTAGCAACTACTATTGTGTTTTCATTGCCTTCAATACTCATTACCGTGCTGTCTCACTTGGTAAAACTGCGCAATCAATCAGCAAGATAATATGCACTAATGTATCTTTAGATGAGGAGGAAGTATAAAACATGAATTGTGTGTGGATTGGTGAATTTGTGGCAAGATTTTACCCAACTAAACTAGTTTATCATCCACATAATGACCATAATATTATTTTTTTTACTCGTAATTCTTCTTTTGATTCGTCAAATTTATAAATCCCCTAACCAAACATTCATAAATACGTACAAAGTATATGTCCATACTCTAATTCAATATTCCTTTTCCTACAAAACTACAATATCGTCTTCTATATATACACTAACATCCTATACAATATTGATAGAGTATAAAATATATTTCTGGGCCTCAACCATCAGCTTAAACTTTTGGTTGAGTTGGTCCTTAGGTATGGGTGGGCATGTGTTGCATCCACATTTCAAGCCCAGAGGGCCTTTTATGTGAGGAGGAGTGATAAAATATAAAACATATTCCTGAGCCTCAACCATCAGCTTAAACTTTTGGTTGAATTGGTCTTTTAACAAATATAACTCGCTCACATTAAGTTAGAATTTTAAACAATTTGCATTCCACAAGTTTCAAACAAGCTCAACTTAAATTATAAATTTATCCCAATTTCATCTTTTAAATGCCTAAGATAACCCTTAATTGCTTGAAATTTCCTACTATACCTGTGTGAAAGTTTGAAATAATTTCCACTACACCATCAAAATTAACAAACTTTATTTTATAAAAATTTGATGTTTGTTTGCCAAATTACTAATTACATCATCTATTCATAATTCAAGATTTCATACAAAGCAATGTATATTTCAATCAAACTCTTATTGCAAATATTTTACAAAGCACATACATATAATTTCTATACAATTTGATATCTAGTTTATATTGTGGTTAGCTATCTAGATACCTGGAAATTTGCTTGTTAGATATTCAAACATGTACTACTTGTAAGTTGCAACACTTAAATGACCTTATTGCATCTTCTTAGTTATAGTTAATCTTAAACTTAATCTTAAACTCTAGAATTCCGATGAATTTTATTTTTAGAGAGAAGAATATATAAGCAATCAAAATTGTTCATTGGTCATATAAAATGTTAACTAGAATGATTGCTCATATAAACCAATAACGACTTGGTGTATAGTAGATGCCAATTAAATGATCACTTGCGTGGACTATAGTAAGGATTAAAATTCATAAGCGTCATTATTGACGTTTTCATGTTTAATTTGTCTCCTAAGCATGCAGTCTATATATGTAATTAAGCTTTATGGTGGAATTATAAATTAGGTTTCAAATCATTTATAGCTCTTTTTGCTTTGGTGAAGACTGAAGAGTGACAAAATCTAATGTGCCAGTCGTTATAATTATAAATTTATAAGTCATTAAAAGTAAATATTCTAGTTTAATTTTCATCGTTGGCCTCTAAAGCAAAGTAAAAACTAATTACCACCACATATATATATATATTTAGATCCTTTATTATATATACCAGGATGTACCTAAAAATAAATACCCTACAAGGATATTGCTCGCAATTATACCTAACATAACAATGAATAAAACTCAGCTCAAATTACGTAGCACAACTCATCCCACCCAAGTCCCAAGTCCCAATCCTATAGAGGAAGGGTTTAATTAATTCTCACGAGGAACATGGAAAATATTATGGGTTAGTTTTGGTTGCGGGCTTGTTGCATTAGATACCAAAAGAAAAGAAAAGAAAAGAAAAAACTCTAAATTGTATTGGGTTACCTTTCCTATAAGCACATGAGTGAACGGAGTAGTAATCCCAAGTAGTAATTCTTGTATCCCTATTCCCTAAATTAAGAATAGTCCTTGAACATTATCAACACTGACAAGTTTAGAGTTATCCGATTATATTACTTTTCGCTTTGTTTGGTGATCAATTGCTTGATTTACTAACAGTAGCTATATATTTGCATTGTAATTTAATTACTCCGTAGTTAGTAAAAGTGTTACTTTTTTTTTTTTTTTTTTTTTTTTTTTTTTTTTTTGAAGGAAGTAAAAGTGTTACTATATCATAGGTATATGGTAAAAATAGTTACAACTTTTTTTTTTTTTTTTTTTTTTTTTTTTTTTTTAAGGAATAGTTACAAGTCTTACAACTATTTATTTACAAATGATTAATAAACTTTTTAGCAATATAATCAAAAGCAAGTTAGAAATACTTGCTCTTGCCATCCTTTTCACTTTGTTGGAGTTGGAAGATTTGCTTTAAGCCAATTGAAATCAAATATAAAGTAGTAGTATGTTACAAAATATTATTACTTTATTTTAGCTCAATAGTTAATACATGTGTAGAATACTCTCTCTAAGGGTCTGTAATCATTGACTGAAATGAGGTGAATTGAACTGAACTGAATTGAACCGAGCCGAGCAGAATAAGAGCTGATTTATAAGAGAAGGAAATTAGGAGCTGAACTGAACTAAACTGAAAATAATCTAATGAGAATAGGGTCTAACTATGTAATTTAGGGCCTGTTCCGATTGATTGAACTTAACTGAACCGAACTGAACTGAACTGAACTGAACTTATTAATTAGTGATTTTTAACTACGGATTAGTGATCTTTGATTATTTATTGATTATTTATTACTATACATATGTGTATATACAAATGTACATATTAAAATATTTACGAAAAATATACTATATAATTATAAAATTTATGGAAAATATATTAAAAACTTGAAACCTCTAAACATTTTAAACACATATACTATTTAATTTAAAAATAAAATAGTATTATGACAAAAGAATACAAAACACTTACATGTATCTAACCCATTTGAACAATGAATTGTATCAATATTATTATTATTATTATTATTATTGATTGATTATTATTATTATTATTGTTATTATTATTATTATTGTTATTATTATTATTTATTGATGATTATTATTATTATTATTTATTGATTATTATTATTAGTATTATTATTTCAATTATTATTATTATTTATTGATGATTATGATGATTATTATTATTTATTACTTATTGATTATTATTATTATTGTTGTTGTTGTTGTTGTCGTCGTCGTCGTTGTAATAAGAGCTTAAAAGAATGAAATTTGGTTTTATATCATTAGCAATATCATTAAACATAAATTAAGAGCTGAGCTGAGCTGAGTTGAAATGAACTGAAACGGAAGAGAACGGACCCTTAATTTAGGTAAATTGTTAATTGGGCAAGTTTAAATCGAACAATCCAATTGACAAAAACGCACCGCAATATAGGAGTAGGTAATTACTAAAATAGCCTTCCTCATTTCAGTCATTTGATTTTTGATTGGTGAATGGTGAATGAACCTCCACAAAATTGAACTAAACGTGAGCAAAACCACACTCCTCTCTTGTGTGGGGGAAGGAAGAACAACGGGTTCAATTCTCCATTAAACTTCCATTGATACAAAATTACAAATAAATACAAACAAATCTTCAAACAAGAACAATTAATCCTTCAAAAAAACAAAAAACAAGAACAATTTAGACAACAAAAAAGGAAAAAATGGCAGCAATTTCAGAACTCAAAATTTTCTCACCAATCTTCAACAATTCAAACACTCAAACTCAGTATTGTAATTTTCATTACACCCTCAAATTCCAAACTGAAAATTTCCACTCAAAAACCCCATTTTTCAGAAGCTCAAATCTTGTTTCAAGAACCCAACAATGGCGGCCATGTTTGGTTGCAGAAGTTGTGGATTCCCCACCTTCTGATGATTCTGAACAAAACCCAGATGAAGAAACTGCTTCTACTGCTGCTGCTGTTGCTGCTGAAGAGAAGAAAGATCGAAGAAAGGCAGTCAAAATTGCTTGGGAGAAGCTTGTTCGTTGGTCTCGTTCTTTGCGTTCTAAGTCTAAACCTGATGTTCTTCAACGCACTAAAAAGGTTCTTTTAATAATTTTTTAGGGTTAATTTGTTGTATTTTATTTATTGATGTATTTATTTGCATTGGTAATGTTCAGTTTTTGAATTGGGGTTGAAGGTTTATATTAGAGGTAGCAATTTGTGGGTTTGATTTGGTTAATGATATGATGCAAAGATTACTGTAGTTGATGATTTTTGTGGGGAAGTTCTGTCCTGTTTTGTAATCTTGGTTGACTTTATGGTGATTTTTACTTTTGGGTGTATAAGTAGTCGCAAAGGACAATTATGTAGACGAGATTAATCCGAGGTCTTGGTATGGGTTGTACTAGCTCAAAGACTTTAACCAACTGAGTTAGAATTTCATTTGTTTCCTTCAATAAGGTTCATAAGAGTAGTGGTATAGTTACCTAGTTTTCTCGAGTAGTTTTTGGAGATGGTCTTATATATTTACTTGATTTGTCAGCAGTATTGCTGAATACCAGATTTCATAGTTTTTTGTTAAGTAAATTGTCCTATTGAAAATATTTTTATTCATAAGACCAGGTATTTTGTTTCCACATGGTTATTTGGCATCTTGCTTTGAAATAATACTACTATATTAACTTGGGACACATCTCATGGTTATTCCACACCTGATGATTATTTCTAAAACCATTATTATGTAAGTTGAAGCTTGGATGAGTTCAATTAACTTGATTATTGTATATAAAGAAAATTTTCGTCGTGGCAACAATTGATATCATCTCCTCCTCAGTTACTCTAAACCATTGGTTTTTTCCTTGTAGTCTGACTTGTATTTAAAGTGCTAATCAGTCGGGGTTTGTTTATTTTGCATGTTGGTGATGTCAAAGATTATACTATGCATATGTGGTTGATTCTTGTCAACAACTTTCTTTTGTTTGGACTCACTTGCAATCTATGCTGTTGTTCCTTATTACTTATAATTTAGTATTTCCTTATATATAGGTAGTGGTGCTTGGAGGTGGCTCATTTGGTACAGCTATGGCAGCTCATGTTGCTAATAGAAAAGCAGAAATGGAAGTCAGTATGCTCGTACGTGATCCTCATGTTTGTCAATCTATTAATCAAAACCATCTCAATTGGTAAAGCCTTGACTTGATTCGCTCAAAGACTTGGCTCTCCACAGGAGTATTTTGTACTCAACCTTTTCATTGTTTCATTGCAGTAAATACTTTCCAAATCATAAGCTACCAAAAAATCTTATTGCCACAACTGATGCTAAGTCTGCTCTGCAAGGTGCTGATTTCTGCCTCCATGCTGTGCCAGTGCAGGTTTCCAATCTTTTATCCATTAGTTTGTTATGGCCTCTTTTTCTCATTAAACTTATATGCTGTGTTTATTTGTGTTCGATTGAAGAGTGAGAATGCATGGTTCTATTTCTGCTGTGTACATGTGGCCTAATCAGCTTTTGTATTTCAATCTTTTGCAGTTTACTGCTGCTTTTCTTGAAAGCATTGTAGATTATGTTGATCCCGGCTTGCCATTCATTTCACTTAGCAAAGGTTTGGAGCTTAACACACTACGGATGATGTCTCAAATCATTCCACAGGCATTGAAAAATCCTCGCCAACCTTTTGTTGCGTTATCAGGGCCTTCATTTGCATTGGAATTGATGAGCAAACTGCCAACAGGTCCCTTGTGTTTCTGACAAAAAGTGTTAGCATATCAAGTTGCTTCAATCATGTCATTTTTTATCCATACTTTTCCACTTATGCTTAATTTTAATCTTACAGCCCTGGTAGTTGCTTCAAGGGACAAGAAATTGGCGAATCAAGTTCAGCAGCTTCTAGCTTCTGAAAGGCTAAGAATCAACACTTCAAGGTATATCTCGCCCTTTTATAAGAAACTGCAATAAGAGGCCAAACGGGAATCTATTACTTCCTCCGTTACACTAAAATTGCAACACTTTGACAAAAAATGTGAGAGCTTTTGTGAAATGGAGGAAGTATTAAATTTCAGCAACCCCCCCTTCCCCACCACCCCCCCCCCCCCCCAAAACCTCATTTAATTTAGTTCAAGTTGAAATGTAGTATGTAGCATAGTAGCATACTATGGTAGTCATTGTAGATTTTCATGATTAGCAAGGTTTAAGCAAAATTGACAATGTTTTATCATTTCTTACGTTATCTTATAAATTAGTGTTTGCATACTTCAATGAAGCTTCTCATCCCAAATATATATTGCTCCTTTTGCAATTTGTTATTCATATTGTGGCAAAGTCACATATTCCAGAGGGAAAATATTTTGGGACTGAGAAAGTATGATGAAGTTGCAAAGGTAATGGTGATATGGATCTTGGTCTTTTATAGATCTGTGGTTATAGAGATTTGCTATATCTTGTATTCTCGCTTCTCAGCTTGCTTACCTTACTCAACTCATAAGCTCTGATGCTTCAGTGATGTTACAGGGGTTGAAATTGCTGGAGCACTGAAAAATGTTCTGGCTATTGCAGCTGGAATTGTGGAGGGGATGGATCTTGGCAATAATTCCATGGCTGCTCTTGTTGCTCAAGGTTGCTCAGAAATTCGTTGGTTAGCTAAAAAGGTATAGAGTCGTTGAGTTCTTTTCATTTTCCGTTTTATATTTAAGATGTCCATGTTTCTCTGGAAATATGGTAGTTTTAAAATGAAAATGAATGTTGCAAGTTTTAGCACTAGCTGCTGTGAATACAGATAGCAACTTTTACTTCACTCACAAAATGTGCCAGTTGATCCTTAAATAGTTTTATTTTGTTCCTCGTATCCTGCCTCTATTGGCCTTTTCTCCAACGTGGATGGAGAGGAAATCTTTAATTTATGGTAGTTTGTAACCGAAACAAGCTGGCATATTCAAGCACTTGTAGCTATAAATTTGTATAAAACGCATACTTTTAAATCAAGAATTGTGCCATATGCTCCTGGAAAAAAATGGTTTTGATACTTCCTCATGCCCTGACCCTGCTTTGGTTCTCTCTCTTTTCTTGGATGATGTGGCTTGACAGGGCAATGCATCCAATCCTCAACTTACGCTCCTTTCATCTTCTGCAATGTAGATGGGTGCCAAGTCTGCAACGCTTACAGGGCTATCAGGAACGGGAGACATTATGCTTACATGCTTTGTTAAACTTTCAAGAAATAGGACAGTTGGAGTTCGTCTTGGGTCAGGGGAGAGACTTGAAGATATACTGAGCTCAATGAATCAGGTGCGAAACCAGCATCTTCTGCTATGTCTTTTCAATAATTTTGTGCATTTTGATTCTCATCCTTGAAGAATCTTCCATTATTCAGGTTGCTGAAGGTGTTGCTACAGCTGGAGCTGTCATTGCTTTGGCCCAAAAATATAAAGTTAAGATGCCAGTTTTGACAGCAGTAGCCAGAATAATCGACAATGAGTTGACTCCTCAAGCAGCTGTTCTTGAACTGATGAATCTACCTCAGGTAACTGAACATTTTATTTATATTACCATTTGTATCTACCTCAGCTGTTCTTGCTCTCTCTGCGCTATGACTCTGAAATACAAGTTGTATCTATATGGGAAACCAGAAAAGCATTAATGAGATATATATCAGTCACCAAAGTTGATCAGTGCAAATCCAAATTTTTGAAAATCAAATCATTTATGATTTTGATGCTTGACTTAGTAATACTCAGTATTAAAAGATGCAAAGTCTAGGGAACACCTTTGGGAGTAAAATTAGATTGGACTTCAGTTTGATTGTAATTTGATGAAGGAAATGTGATTTCATTGTTTAGCTAGCTTTTTCTGGGAGGGCCTCATCATGATTAAGGGGTCGTTTGGTTGACATGAGAAACAAATTTTCATAGGAAGTTGTATTTCATGGGAAATTAATCCCCTAATGAAAGTCCTAGGAATTTCCATAATTTGTTTTAGTTGGCAATGTGGGAATTATAAATTCCCATGAATATCAATTGACCGGGGGGGGGGGGGGGGGGGGGGGGGGCTAGGGAATTTACTTCCCATGTTGTGTGGGAATTTACTTCCCATGTTGTGTGGGAAGTTGAAATTCCCATGAATTCCTCCATTAATAGTCTCTTTTCAGAGGCTCCTATCCTTGTTGGAGATGTGCAACTTTACCATATGTAAGTTCAAATTTTGAGGGGATGGAACTTGGGAGTCATAGGACAATGTGACAACTAGTTCTAAGCAGAGGGAGTTAAGTCATCCTGTATTTCTGATAGAGGAGCTCATTGCTTGCGACGCATCTCATAGTCTCATGTGAACTTGCAAGTGAATCTCTCCAAATGACTGAAAAAATTTGAACCTGTCTCCACACTTTCCATCATTTATGGGTTGTGCACCAAAAATAGCAATAAAAATGGCCTACTTTGACTTGCTTTATTGATATGGTCAGTTTTCTTTAACTACTGAGTTCATTGCAGGTCGAGGAAGTATGAAGCCCATGAGCTGATTTTTTTTGGTTGAAGCCTGTTATCTTCCTGGGGCGTAAGAGCATTGTGATTCCATTGTAATTCTGCTCCTTGCTCCAGGATTTTTACTCGTAAGTGCAGTGAACATATTGATACACTTCCAGCTTAATTAGAGAGAAACTCAGGAACCTACGGCAATGTATACATCAAATTTTTAGTAGAAAACATTACAGAGTTTTGTGGTGTTGAACTATCCAATTGTATACTCCATTTATGTATCATTCAAATCAGATATTCTTAAATAATTGCTGCAATGCAATGTTCAATCTTTCGGGTTGGTGTACTGCAAACTGGTTTGTATGTGTTTTTTTCCTGCTTAATATTACTGTACTATTGTGAACAATGCTAGCATCCAGATAAAAATTTAACTGTATGGCTGGCAACTCTTATGTTATTCATGCATGTAATTGTATTTGTATGTAGAAAGAACAATAAAAGACCATGATGTAAATAAAATTTAATCTCATGTACTCGTATTTGTATTCTTTTTTATTGGAATTTTAGTTACAAGAACTAGATTTGCTAGGGGTTGTCCTCAATTATCTTGATTTATTTTTAACCTGACCTAGCTGTAAGTTTGATCCCCTCATCAGAAGTAAAAATTTCAGATTAAAAAAAATACTTTGTACTTCATTTTTTTAGCCGGTTAGCGCATATTATATCATAGTAAGAGTGTCATCAAGTATATACAATGAGACCTCAGTAGGAGCGTGGTTTTCCCAACATTGTTCACAACCAAATGACACTAACCTAGCTAACAAAGTTCCCATCATGGTTAACATGAGACTAGAAAAATGGAAGAAATAACAGAGCTAGAATAGACAATCTTCAGCAATGCTATCAAAAGTGGAAAGGGTGAGGGCATTCTTCAGCTTTGTAATCAGAACCTCAGAGTCAGATTCAAGAATCACTCTTGTAATCATGATCTTTTGCTTTCTTCAAGCCAAAAAAAGCAGCCTTCCTTCAGCAACAAGAGGCTCCCACCGCATTTCACTCTTCTTGCAGCAGCAAGGAGCATCTTTCAGAGCTATCACAAGCAACAGCCCCCAAACCAATCCACCCCTCGTCCTTGGTTGAGGCATCGACACTTATCTTTATAACCCCGGGTGGGGGAGGAGACCACACCACTCTGTCAGAAAACCGAGAGAGCCCCAAATTTATCTTTATACTTCATATTTTAAATTAGACGTAAGAAGACTAAGAACACAGGAGAGTTAAAAAAAAAAAAAAAAGAAATAGAAAAAGAAAAAGAAGCAAATTTGCTGTTTCTGATCAACACTTGCTGCGCACTTAGTTCTCCTGTAGTTGTCAAATGATCCACCAATTACATATCACCAGAATCAAGTAATCTACATTGTTTCCATATAATATTTGGCAACACCTTTTGCTAAGCCGAAATTTTGAAAAAAATGTCTTCAGTTTCTATAGCAATCTAACTCCAAATTGTCAGGTGGTCATCCTTTTCCTTTATTGAATATGGAACAGAAAGATAACATAAAGAACTAGAAAACCTGTCCTGCTTGCTGCTGCTCCTTGTTACAGCACACAGTGGAACGAACATCTTTGAACTGCTTCCTGGCACTACCAAAGGCTGTATATGTGATGCATGAAGAGTTAGGGAAAATGTAACCAAAGTCGGCCAGGGCCTCTGTGATGTGAATACTGCAGCATTGTTGTTCTATGAAAGGACATGGGGGGTGCAAGTGAAGATTTGGCTACAGGACTGAGAATCAAGCTATTGCACACCGCTCAATTTAGCCCAATCCACAAACTGCATACCACCATAGATATTGTTGGCAAATCGCACACCAACTGTGAAAGCCATTGCAACAGACGGAACTTGCTTCGCCAATGGTGATGTTTCAACTACACGCTCCAATCCATTTACAATCTGGTAACGTGTATTAGAGGAGATTGCCAGAAAAACACCTGTTTCCAAAAGCAAACGCAACATTACAGTAGAAAGGACACGATATATTGTCATGAAGGCACAAAATTTTTAATAATTATATCAAACAGTTAAGACATCTAATAAAGCACAACATAAACATTGCAAGTGAAATATTTTTGACATAAGAAGGAAACTATTATGACGAATCAGGATACGCACTGGTTGCTAAAGCATGTCCTACTTGAGAATATAAAAAATCAACCACATTGCCAACTAACACTCAGCATCTTCTGAAGATATTTCAGCTAAACAGTTAAAATTTCAAGTTCAAGTCTTGGTGCATGAAGATGAGAAAAAAGTTATCAATTGGTACAGGCCTGAAATTTACCAGTTTCTCCAATACTAAAAAATCCCCTTTCTTCCTTTAGTTGAAAAAAGTAGCCCACTCAGTTAACTCCAGTACTGGTCATGGGGCAGCAGTGTAGGCCGAGGACAAGAGCTCAATGATCTGAGGAAATTTGAATTAATATCTTGAAACTTGCCACTACATGTCCTTGATGGTGCTAGACTTTCCTAATACATAGAAACCGCTTGATCTCCCAGAATGTCCTTGATGGCAATGGACTTTTAATATATACGGAGACATCTTTCTCACAATTTCTGTTGTTATATATTCTAAGTTCCCATTTTTTTCCCACTAAAATTAATCCATCAAATCTTGAAAGCTTGATAAAATTCTCTATTGGTAGCAGTTTCTCAAAACTAAATGAATACCATGATCAACAAGCAAAGATCATTGACCAAGGTCTATTGTCTTCTTCAAGTTTCAAAATTTGATTTCTAGTAATCCCATATTCCCATCAATTATCAATGAATTGTCTAGCGTTTAATAAGGGAAGAAGTGTGGAACTAGTCTTGGCAAGCTACTTATTGCACCATCTTTGGCCTCAAACTGAACTGTGAATTGAACTTAAAGCCAAAGCTTACGCAAAATATTGTAAGCAAGCACCATCACACTAGATACTGACTTTTGAGCAAATAGGTTTACCAAAACAGTTGCATGATCAAAGCCAAACAAAACAAAAAACAGAAAAGCATGAGATACTAATTTAATGTCAAAATATTGAGCAAAAATAATAAGTATAAAAGGGTGAAATAAGGGTCTATCATAAGAAGACAGTTCTACGTGTTTCACAGCAGTAAAGTTCAAAACATATTCAAACGTACCCCAGAGTGCAGCACTTTTTACAAGTGGCGGAACAGGTACATCATCATCAGACTTCTTAATGTTCCTGTCAAAGCAAAAAAAAAAAAGGTATTAAGCAATTTTAGTTCAGAAATCAAATGTCTTATAACTAAACTAACATGGAAAATACATGTACGTTTACAGGCAATTGACAGTCAGAAACCCCAGAAACATGTCGAAGCGTTAGAATTGACATAGGGGCAGAGGCTGGGGGGGAGGGGGAGGTGGTGGTGGAGAATATGAATTATGAACAAACTTTGTCTGATAATCCAGGAAGAGTGTGCCATCAGACGGCCAGGGAAATTTCTAGCAAGTACAGCTAACTTACAAAAAAGGTTCTATACTCAGCTGCACATTGGCTTTAGAAAATTAAGCAGTCTCTCCAACTCAAATTTGATTTAAACTATAGAAGCACTAGAAGTTTTTCACCATTGCTTCCTAAGTACTTTAAGTCTTTCACTATGCTTTTAAATCTGACTTCATATACATCCAGTCAATGGTAAAACTTATTAGCTACTTAATTTACAAAAGCATTGTCAATTGCAACATTATAGGGTTCCCCAAGGGCTAGATCTCCCAGAACTTAGGAATAATTTGCAGAGCGTATAGAAAAATATTTGGTAAGGTGTGTTAAAAAAAATGAATGTAAAGACTGTAGTTCATCCATAGTTTACTGAACCACATAATTTAATTCTATATTCATCTAACAATAGGGAAACTTGTTATCAACACACCTTACCAAATAATTAAATGGTAACAATAGGTTACAGTCTTTACTTTCTAACTATCATGAAATCAGGGCTGAATGATACAATTACTCAAAACATGATGTGAGATGACAAGCAAAATATAATGCCAGATTCTTAAAAAATTACCGTTTAGCAGTCATTATCATATTCGCAATGCCCTGTCCAACAATTCCACATCCAAATCCAACAGCCCCATATAATACACCCTGCATGTCAAAATTGTAAATTCATATAAAATTATCAATAATGTATTTTCTATCAAATGTGAATTTACAGTTGAATACTTAATGAAACTTCAACCAATCATCATTCACCATAACATTATACTTATTGATCAAATCCTACACTATCTAGACCATTTTCTTAATTAATGCATGGAAAGATGTATGTAACTCTTGTTGGGAGGTTTGAAGAGTCTTTTGGCTCAGGATTTGCTTACAAGAACACCATGCATCCTGAGGGAGCTTGGATGATGGGGAAGGCAAGGATCATTTGTACCCTAAGAATGGGAGCATTACATAAAACGCTAAAAGTTGATATGTTTATTTTCCATCTGTTTTTTCCCTTGTCTTAGAAGCAAAGTTGATATGTTTATCTTAAATTTTTTACGCCTAATAAAACATGTCACAAGAAGGCACATAAACTACATGCATTAAGATAAAGTTGCTCTGTAAGGACATGCAAGCTACTGAGTTATGTGTTATACACTAGCTTTTTCTTAAAAAAATAAACTAATACAAACCAAGTCATACCTTGTAGAAGTATGATGCAATTCTTTGCTTTACTGAAAATCTGCATCCTGGTCTTTCAGCTTCAAAGACGCTGCAATTCCAACATGTAAACGTTTAGTTTCTAAAAACAGTGTACATGCAAACCAAAGAAATAAAACACAGCCGGAGCCCAATAAATCACTTCGTTAGACCAAGGAAGTGCAACTAATATTCGGAATGCTGGTAAGTAAATTAGGGGAGGGATAAGGTAACTAGAGGAAAAATATCTCCAACGAGTGCTAATGAGAAGTCAAGAGGGAGAACTTTCAAAATTACTTTAACGTCTTCATTTTAAACTTGAAATGTTCTTCTAAGAGAAGTGAGTGGCGAAATGCCCTCTCCCTCCTCACTTCTTTACAATCCAAACAAAGTGTTATAGCCTACACACATACTTTCTCACTGAAAATGGATATTGGTCCAAGCACCATGGAGCATCAAAATAGCAAAGAAATATCTAGTATGTCAGAGAAGATTGATCACACCATTTTTAGTTCCAATTACCTGCTAGGTAGGTTACGACAAGCAAGCTGGAAACGTCCCAGTAAACCTCTTGATACTGTCTGTTGCCCAATACGAACATATGGTGCTAACATACCAACCAAGGCTATGTCGACAACCACACCAACTAGAAGATCTGCAGCGTACAACTCAAACTCATTCCAAAAATCCTTCCCCCTTTTTTGAACTTCAGCAAATGTTGCACAACACGAATCTATAACTATCTGCATCATTCAACACAACTAATAAAATACTCAGAGCATTCCAGTGCACAAATCACCATTTTTCACAGCAAAGGAAAATATAGATTCAAGATTATACACATGGCCATGCAAACAATTATTTTGAGCTTAGAAGCACATATATCTCTAACATTATACTTATGAAATTAAACACAATGTACAAAATCAAACAAAGATAAAAAGCTATTAGTGCATTGATTACAAGTCTGTTCAATGTCCATTGCAATTTATAAAGCAATTAGTGTCCCCACCCCAAAAAATTAAAACAATTGGCACATATTAGCCACTATCCGAGATATTTATCCTGTATTTATTCCAAACAGGCATGCTAAGGCTCTATTTAGTTCACCTTATTTTCACTTATTTCAAGTATGATAAATTCATATAAGATAATATATGAGCTAATAAGTGCATATAATAATTCTTCAAAAAAAAAAGTGCATATAATATAAATATACAATGCAAGGGTTAATAAGTTCAAGGTTGATAAATTCAGATTAGATAATTTAAAGGCTAAAAAGTTCAGATAAGATAAGTTAATAATATAAGATAAGTGAAATTCAGGTGAATAGACCACTACCCAATAAATAAAAAATAAAAGTCTCAGTGCTTCTTGGCTCAAAAGAATATATTATCAACGTACCTCAGTCCCAACTTTGAATAAGAATGCAGGATCTGCTATCATTCTATTGCGGAGCATTGAACAATGTCGCATCAGAAAGCCAAGTGGCCAAAATGACCCCTGAGTATCAATACAAACTAAAATATGAATAAATATTCACAACTGGAACCAATTAAAAAAATTATATCTAATTTGACAAGAGCATGAAACCAAAACATCTGTCAAAAATAATATATCCGGTTTCAAGTAATATTATTAGCATCTGTGCAACACATTTTCCTTCATTGCATAAAATTCATCTCTCATGGAATTGAGAGAGCACCAAATTTATAGAGTGACACATATTAACATAAGTTTAGATATTCAATTACAATTCATTATCAAGCAAAATTCATCTATTTCTCTGCCCGTATTAGAATCAAAATAATAATCAATAAAAGTAATAATTTTCATACTTTCAGAGCCCCACTTAGCCAAAAGAAATCAATTCCAAATTAAAAAAAAATGAAAAAACTATACCTGCAACTCTAAGTATCGCATCAGTATAAGTTCTCTTATCCCTGTAGTTTTAGCAGCTTCCAGTATATCCGAGGGAAGAGTTACCCCATGTTTCTCAGTTTCTCGTATCACATCCTCAAATTTCAAAAGTGGACCAAATTCCTTTTCATCCTCATTGTCCCCTTCGCCTTTGCCGCCGCCACCACCACCACCACCACTGCTGCCATCACCTCCATTTTCTGGTGGAAAATTTCCATTACCGTTTCCAGAATCCTCTACAACCCCATTGTCCTCTAAATCAGGCAGTGTTTTAGTAGATTTGTCATTATAGCTTTTCACAAGGAAAACATCAGTATTTCGATTTGACAAGGCCAAATTTGTGACTCTTAGAGCATCTTTGGTTTGAGAAAAACCTATAGCCTTACATTCAAGCACAAAATTGCAAGTCTTATGCCTGTTCAAGTTGGTCTCATTTAATGCAGTGCTGTAGTAGTTTGATAGATTGAATAATGAACCAACCGACATTTCTCCTCAATGAACTCTATCATTTTTGTAACACAACAAAGAAATGAAAGAAAGAAAATTATACATAAATGTAAGAGGATTTTAGAGATATCTAATATATACATAGAATTATCATAAAAAGCCAAAACATTGTTAAATAAATAGCACAAGAATATCTATCATATACGAAGGATGTAACTTGCCATTGATAGTTGAAAAGAGGACAGGATACCAAATGCACGCAACTTTCCTCCAAACAAGTCTAGACCAAAGACCCAAAAAAGAATCTACATCTTCAACAAAGTAAAAGAATCTTTATATACACAACCTGTCCAAAGATACATTTATCACAAGGTGTTTGTAAATTGTAATCCCTCCAATCTTAATATTTCCTCCATCGAGCATCTCCAATCCATTGGAGATTGTCTTTGGTTAATAATAACACATTTTTATCCGATCAACAATCCTTGTTCCTAGTTGTGATGGCTAATTTAGTTGGTAAAGTCTTTCGAGACAATATATAAGACTTGTTATCAAATTCCGCCTATATCAATGTAGAGATGCAAAAAATAATTTCTTATTCGTTATTTCATACTATTGATCGATTCTCACCCAATTACTACACCCTTTTTATGTTTGTGAATAAACAACTCGAACACTATGACTGCATTCAGCTTGTAGTTGAGTAATATTGGATGAAATCACCCCTATTTCAACTCGATTCAATTGATGTGGTGTAGAGTTTACATACTAAAACCACAAACAATGTTACTTAAATAAATTTTAATCTGTTAACTAAACAAAAATAAAATTCCTCTCAAATGTTGAATTCCATACTTTCTTTTCTAAAGTCTAATGGGTTCTTCAAACAAATAATGGGGAAATGTTCGATTTTCAATCATCTCATAAATCTTTAAATCCCAAAATTATAATCTTGAAAAAAGTAGATTAATTTGAAATAAAAAAAAAAAAAAAAAAACACACACACACACACAAGGGGATGCAATTCAACCACTTTGGGCAATTAAAAATCGAATCTTCCACCCAAAAAATATTAATAAAAATAAAAATATATAAATAAATACAAGATCACGAATCTATTGCAATGAATTACAAGAATAAGGGCTCTAACATTCACATTAACACAGAAAAAACTTGGAAAAAAAAAAAAAGCACACATGCATACAAGAAGCAGAAAACAGAATCATAATCACTGAAAAAAAGTAGAATCAAAGAACAAAATTGATAGACTAACCAGTAATTGCGAAGGATCAGAGCATTTAGAAGGGAGAAAATTGATGAATTCGAAAGGAGCAGAGAAAAGGGTGGCAACTGCCAATGGAGGTGAGCACGACCGCGGTTGGAGTATAAGCAGCAGTGCAGCACTGAGGTTTTTGGAATCATTTTTAATTTTTTTCTTTCTTTCTTTATTTATAATAATTTTCATATTTGGTTGGCCACTTGCCATACCGTATATGCGGGGTCACTTATTATGTAATTACTTGGTGGATCAGGGCTTAGGGGTTACTTGGTTGGTAAGAGATTAGTCTCACACTGAAAACGCGCTAATTAACTGAGTAACAACAGAATAAGTAACTCTTGACCGACTGAATAACCTTAAATAAGTAACCCCTGAGTAGGTAACCATGCACGGTGTGGCCAGACATACAGAAAAAACACCGATTTATTTATATGAGAATTTTAATTAATTAGATTCAACTTAGATCATGTTGTTCTCCTTGATATTTTTTTTTTTTTTGGTAATTAAAGAGCCACAAGGACGAAATTATTTGAGCTATCCCTCACTCTCATGTTCTCCTTGATATAAAGCTTCATTCTCGACATTTTCATAAAATTTGGTTAAAAGTTCTTCAATATTATGAAAACTACCGTTAATGAAACTCTTTATATCGTGACCGTTAGATACAATGTGACCGTCATCATATCTTAAGATTTACATCGTAAAAAGTTCTCACGTAAGGGTGATTCTCACCAGAACCTCAAGGCAGTACGTAGGGCATATGTTTATTAATAACTCTAACTACTCATCCAAGATCAATCAATAATTCTATATATGCATTTACGCAATTACGCATCGATCCAATTAAGGAGATTATACCTTAGATGTAGACGATGTACTATAAACCATATATAATTAATTTGCACGTGATTAAAATCTAATTTATGTCATGCTTGGTAACTATAAGCGTTACAATGTACGGAGTATTAATTATATTACCATTACAATTCAATGTCTAGCCGATCGATTATGCATGATGGTCTATTATTCAATACATGCACAACTATTTGAAATTTTTCCCATGAGTCCAATCCATCCTCAATTCCTCATTATATGTGTATTTTTCCTTTTCAATACAACATGTAAACTATAACAAATTACAATAAATTATTATTGTTACAGGGTGTTATTATTATTCAACGGTGAAAATTAGATAATACACCCGGGTGCACCATGCTCATGGTGCACCCGGGTAAACAAAAAAAGGCGGAAAGAACATATAGTGTTTGATAAAGAACATACCTATGTTTGACAAAGAATATACCTTTAATATGTTTTTTGAGTGTGATCAGTGTGTTCTTTGAGTAAAATTATATGTTCTTTATATTATAACTTATGTTATTTAACATATGTTGATAAACATATATTTTTTTTGGGTTTAATAATACAAAGTATGTTCTTTGAATTTGGCGTGTATGTTCTTTAAGGTCGTAGTGACTCCCAAATTCTATTTTTTATTATCACATGTCATATTTAAATTACTTTTATTATCGTATATTCTTTGAGTTTGATTAGTGTGTTATTTAGGTATTAACTATATGTACTTTACAATATAAATTATGTTCTTTTAACATATGGTATTTTGAAATTTGATATTGAAATCTTAAATTATTTTTAATTGAAAATAATGTTAGAGTAAAAAAAAAAAACTAAATTATTATGGGAAGTTGAATTTTTTTTGGAGAGATAGAAAACTATTTTTTGGGGAAATGATATCTTTGGTAAGGATTTTTTAAGAGGTGATCAACATTGGCATGACTCGTATCCCGACCCGATCCGACCCGAAATAGGGTGGGTTTGGGCAAAACTAAAAATACATTTTTAGTTAAAACTCGAACCGGGTTCGAAAAAAGCCCGAAAACCCGCTACTTTTCTACGGGTTTGGGCACAAGAAATTATGATATGGCCCGGCCCTACTCGATTTTTTATCACCTCTAAATTTTTCCCGTTAATAATGTGTAATTTTTCAGAAAATTTTATCAAGTTTTTATCTCGTTCTTTTTATTATATCTTTATGTTCTTTGGTAATGCATGTTTTTGTCAAATACAAACATGTTCTTTGTCAAATACATGTATGTTCTTTATGAAACACAGGATGTTCTTTTCGCCTTTTTTTTATTTATCCGGATGTACGATGAGCACTGTACACCCGTGTGTATAAACCACGGATTATTCAACGGTCTATAATTAAACGAGGACATATATAATTTATTCGGGTACATAACTACGTAACAAATGCAAGGGTTGTATGTACAAAACTACAAAAGGTAGCTACGTATTACATGAAATCTACAAATTCATGTATATTTGTATAACATTTATTTGGAACATTAATTGTATCAAAGTATATTGTATCATAGTGATGGAATATAAAACCAATGACTGGTTTTATATTGTTTCAATTAAATTAGCTTAGGTCATCTTAACAGTTGTGATGGGTCTAATGCTTGTGGGATGGTAGCGAAAAAAGATTTCACTGTAATTTTTCACCCTTTTGTAAATAGCTGGCTAATCTTCTGTTATTAAAGTTTTTAGAGGTCCGATTTCCTTATGTTGAGCAGGGCCGCAGAACAATGGTAGAGAGACCCTTTCTTTTTCCGGGTTTGGCACCACTCTATGTATTGCGCTTTTGAAGATGCCATTGCTCATTATCTACACAATCAAATTAAAATCACGAATTTCAAAATTTAGGCTCAACTCGAGTTTGACAATCAACTAGACCAGCAAACCCTGTTTACTGTTCTTTGTGACTCTCTATGGATAACAAATCAATAATACGACGTAACAAAAAATAAAAAAAACTCCTACCTCCATTTGGTCGCCAACAATGACAAAGATAGCATGAGGAAGAACGGGTGCTTTAAACCACTTGTTATCTTTTTGAAATTCAAGGCCTTCAATTTCTTTATCTTGCAACAAAAAAGTCATGGCACTCGAGTCTGCATGTTTGCTAGAGGTTCGAATTTGGTCAATATATGAACATGGTATGTAAAAATTAAATCTCGCTATCACTTGTAATGTTCCTCCATATTCTTCCTCAAAACTATTCTCTTCCAAGTTCAAACATCGTGCCATATATTGGATCAATTTGTCATGCAACGTTTTCACGTTCATACTATACTCTTCCAAAACTTCCCTGCAAAAAAAAATTTGATTTGTTCGTTTAGTTGATTAGATATAATGGACTTATATTCAAATTGAGTATTAATAACATGGATAAATTAAATTAAAAGAACAAAATAATTTAACAAGTTTACTACATACAAATATACAATGATGTACTTGTACTTGATATATACGTTGTTTTATTCCAAGGCGAAAATGGTAGGTATAAATCAATACGAATATAACAAGATCCCACATGACTATATTTTTATTTAAGCATAATTCGGTAAAGCTAGTCAAAATGAAACAGGTGAATAGTGTAAAAGTCAAACTGTTGCAACTATAAAAAAAACGGAGAAAGTAGTATATACATTTAAGTACCTAAAAGACGGAGGAGTTTGAGGCCAACCATCAAGTTTGCGTTCCTCAAAAGGGTAGGTTGTGAGCCGTAAGTGCGACTGCCATAAGAGAGGTACATTGTTTGAAGTGATTGAGTCATTGCCATAACCTTGAGGTTCTGTTGCTGTCCTTACATATTTCTCTTTCTCCTCTTGAGGCAATCTATTGAATTCGAGCCCAACATTTCGAACTTTGTCCAAGTATTCCACAGACATGCCATGATTTACAAGCTAACAAAAACATAAATAAAATCATCATCATCATTAGTACATACAAATATACAATACCTTAAATAAATAAACTTATGACATCAATCAGAGTAACCTTTTCTATTTTATGACAACAACCATAATACTAATTCTTTATTGGATGATTTTGAATTTTTTTTTTATGTCAAAATTAATTATAATTCATCTATCAAATTTTAAAGGAAAATTAATGTATTTTGAAACACCCCTGATTTACTAATTAATAAATTTTGAAATAATTTTAGGATTATTTTTATGATTTTTCTAATTAATTTACAAAATTCAATTGTTATTATTGCTTAAATTAAAAAATAATTAATAAATTAACTATAAAAAAAAATAAATTAAAAAAAAAACATTTATAATAAATTGGGTTATCTTGCCTTTTACCACTGCAAAAAAACGAAAAATTTGCTTTTATCACCTCCAAAAAAAAAAAAGGTTTTATTTTACCACCACATAAAAAAAAATAAAAGTTGACTATTACCATTAATCACTGCCAACTAGCGGATTCCGTCCATAAATCCGTTAGTGGGGCCCTACCATGTCCATGCGTCGCCATATTATTGAGTTTTTTTTTTACCCAATAATATGGTGACATGTGGGCATGGTAGGCCCCACTAACGGATTTATAAACGGAATCCGTTAATTGGCGGTGATTGGTGGTAAAAATCAATATTCAATTTTTTATGTGGTGGTAAAATAAAACTTTTTTTATGAAGGTGGGAAAAGCAAATAATTGGTTTTTAGAGGTGGTAAAAATCAAAATTTCCTAATAAATTTGACATAATAAATAAATCAAGAATCAGCCAATATAAAATTAGTACTACGTATAATAATAGTTATTTTAAGGATGATTACCATAGAATTTTTACATCACAAAACCCTCTTATTAGAAATTATCTTACAGGCGTAATTATCAGGGTGGTTCAACCATGTTTAAAATAAGATTGCGCTAAGAAAAACGTACAGCTCAACAAATAAATTATTTCAAAAGAAAAAAAAAATCAACAAATAAAGGCAAATAATACAACGTAAATATGCCCTTAAACTAATATAAAGAAAGAAAATTCATGATCAGCTCACCTGGAAGCAACCCCATGAGCTGAGAGCAGCATGGAGTTTCTTCAATTCGTCGGCCACCACATCAGGAGATGGACATGAGAGAAAAGCGAAATCGATAACATGGTTTTCCAATATATGGAAGATCAGCAGCCATATTATTATAACTATGTTGATTTTTGGTGCTGCAAAATTTAACAAGATTTTTGCTTGTTTATAATTAATAAGCTAGCTTAGTAGTTAGTATTAGACTAGTATAGTAGTAGTAATTAGCTGCCTTAGCTTGAACGTATAGTAGTGATATGGTCACCTAATTTATAGTAATTTCATTATTAAAATTTTCGTCTTCCTAATCAATTTTCTTTTCCTTCGTTTATTTTATTATTTTTTTTTGTCAAATTCTATGTTCTTAAAGTTTTCTTCATTATGTTTTTACAACTAACTACGTACTCTTACAATTAGAAGTCAAGTAACAGCCTGACCAATAATTAAGAATTCTTTTGGTCAAAGAAGGTAGGTCTAGAAAACATACAAAGTTTGTTATATAAAATATTTAAGACAATCATTATTGTTGGACAAAAGGAGTATTTTTATCTTATTTTTGTTTATTATTATTTTCTTTTTTTGGAACACTATTAAATTACAAATAATACTCCAATCATCAAAATATTAGTTGGATAAAAAATAGTATATATATATATATATATATATATATATATATATATATATATATATATATATATATATATATATATATATATATATATATATATATATATAGGAGTTGGATCATGTGAAAACAAGTGGTAAAGTAAAAACTGAAAACAGTTAATCTGGGCCGTACATCATATCTTATGGCTGAGATTTTTTCCCCTTATTTTCAGACATCTTTAATCTTTTAATTCACACGTTATTTTCTCTCTCCTCTCTGTTCTCTTTCCTACTTTCTCTCTCTTCAACCAAGTTCTCTGTTTTCTCTCTCTACTGTGTGTTTCTCTCTCTTCGTTCTCTCTCTAAACGCGGCGGAAGCATACTCTGAATTCTCCGTTGAAGCGGCTTAGGTATTTTTGGAGGTTCGATCTGATTATATTTTTTTTTTTTGGTTTTTGGTTTTTTAATCGTGTTTTTTAGGTTTGAACTTGATTTGATCTTCAATTGTTGTTTTCCTTCTGATTCTATGTGTAATTGTCGTGAATTATATGCAATTTTGTTGTATTGTAACTGAATTTTGATAATAAATTGCGAATTTAGGCTTTAATTTTTGCATTTTTGCTGTTTTTTTTTTTAAATTTTTATATACTGGATTATTTAGCTATAGAATGTCAATTGTTTGATATTATTAGCAAATTGGTGGTGTCGGTGGTGGTGGTGGTCTAGGTTTGGGGGTTTTGGTGGTGTTGATGGTTGTGGTGGTGTTGGTGGTTTCGGTGATTTTCGGTGGGTTTTGGGTGGTTTCGCTTGGTTTGTGGGTGGATTCGGTATTTTTGGTGGGTGTCGGTGGTTGTGTTGGTCTAGATTTGGGGGTTTTGGTGGTGTCGGTGGTGGTGGTGGTCTGGGTTTGGGGTTTCGGTGGTGTCGGTGGTCTGGGTTTGGGGGTTTCGGTGGTGGTGGTGGTCTAGGTTTGGGGCTTAATCGTTCCCTCAAAATCGGCCGTAGGAAATTATGGGAAAAAGAGAGGTACCGCCATTAAGACGCAGAGCTTGAAACTTCATCTTTCAGTTTTCGTCTCAGCAATGAAGCAGAATGAAGATGTTGCTTCTACTACTTGCCTAATTCTGTAATTCCCCAAATTTTCAGAGAAGAAAGAAGGAAATTGAAAGTTGACACTGACAAGTCACAATATTCTGGGAAAGCCTTCAACATACAATGTATTCCATAAAACTTTGAACGAAGTATATGGAAAACTAATTTGCAGTAGTTAACTAGTTATAAATTTTGTAATTTTTTTTTTCTTTTTTTTTTGTGTGTGTGAAAGGTTATTGTAAAATCTCAAACATAAATTTAAAATCTGTGTTGGTTTTAAGCCTCTAGTTTTTGGCATGTTGAAAGCCTATTAGCTCAATTGGTCGAGCACCGTGTAATCACGGGATGTAGGTTCGAATCCTACATAGACTTTTTTAATACCCTTTATTTTTATATTTAGTGACCTCTGGGTAAATGGTGTCAAATTGATTTAATTACCCGAAGTTTATATATAGTTACCTTATTTTCGTATATAATGACCTTAGTATTATGGAAATGTTGTAAATTTTGTTTCAGTCACCTTATTTTTGTATATATCAATCTTGCTGGATTTTCAGCAATATTGCAAGCTATAATTAATATAGTTATTTTATCTTTGTATATAGCGACCTATATGTAAATGTGGTCAAAATTGATATAGTTACCCTACTTTTGTATATAGTGACTTCTATGAATAGGATCAAAATTGGTATAGTTACCCTATTTTTGTATATAGTGACAAATGTTGTAAAAATTGATATAGTTACCCTATTTTTGTATACAGTTACGTTATTTTTATATATAGTGACTCTACGTTATTTTATTTTTTTTTAAACCGTTAGATCTTGTTAGTAACAATGGATGGTTGAGATTTTCTGTTTTTAGTTTTCACCATAAGCCCTGTTTTCAGCGGAACCTCCCCGTATATATATATATATATATATATATATATATATATATATATATATATTATTACTAATTTTAAGATAATCTCGATTTATTATATTTTAAATGACTATAATGACTTCAAAATCATAAAACCAAAAAAGAATACCAGCGATGATATTGATCATGCATATTTGATACGTTAATGGAAGGAATATAATACTTGTATATCTCAAAATCACCCTCTTGTTAATATTAGACCTGAAAATCCTAACTCACTCCGAATAATCTAACCCACGAGGTGAAAATTACCCAAAATAATCAGTGATCCGAAAATGACCTGATCCAAACTAACTCAAACGTGACTTGATGCTCGAAATGACCTAACTTGAATGACTCGACACGAAATTGACCGAAAACCCAAAGTTAACCCGACCCGAATTGACCCGGTAGATACTCATGTTTAGTTTTTTTTTAACAGAAATTTACTTTAGTTTATAACTATTGCTTGTATAGAAAAGTTAGGTTTATTCTTGAAATAAGAGGGAATTTTCCCATAATTTTTCGAGAGCGCCCCAGTTAATAATCAATTTGATAAACAAAATTTGTTTATCAAATGGCAAAATGGTAAATAAAACAACATAATTAAATGCCCAGTCATCATGACATTTCCGTAAATATATCAACAATTGCGCAGTGGAGCCCATATTTCATAAAAATTTGTTGATTTATTTACAATTTTGCCATTTGATAAACAAATTTTGTTTATCATATTGATAAACTTGTATTTTCTCCAAATTTTCTAAGTGAAATTATTTTTGGCAACGTGATCCGACTCGAATTTGACCCGACTTGAACTGATCCGACCAAAACTTGACCCGAAAACTAGTCCTGAAAATTGACTCGATCTGAACTGACCCAATTCAACCCGAATTGACCCGAATCGAACTTGATCCGACCTAAACTCAAACCGAAGTATTGACCCGAAACCCGAACTGACCCTACTTGACTCGAAGCCAACCCAAATATTTGCTGATCCGAAAGCGACCCAGCCTGAAATGATCCGATCAAAATACCCGTTTGCCAGGTCTACTTGTTATTGACATATGACATGTGTGTAACTAGTAATCCAGTTTTATACATTTACTAGGTTATCCTCGTGCGATGCACAGTTAAAATTAAGGAAATTTTGCAAAAAACCACCTTTTACAAGCAATTTTTTGCAAGAAACCACCTTATAATTTTTTTTTTTGCAATGACACACTTTAATCAAATTTTTTTTTGCAAATCAATACCTTTATGCCGGAAAATGAGGTTCGACCACATTTTCCGGCGTTAACTACCCCAATCTACCCACAAAACCACCTCTCTCCTCAGCCCCACCCACGAAACCACCTCCCTCCCAAGCCCCACCCACAAAACCACCCTTTTATATTGGCGTTGACCACCATAAACACACCTCCTCTTACGGCGTTGACCACCCTAAATACACCCCGGCCTTTAACGACATTGACCACCCTAACCCCACCTCTATAGCCCTAGCCATCCTTCTCCCCTCCACTGTGAGTTTCGTGGGTGCAGATGGCGTAGTCAACGCCGAAAAATAGGGTTTGACTCTATTTTCCGGCATAAAGGTATGGTTTTGCAAAAAAAAATTTGATTAAGGTGTGTCTTTTTTAAAAAAATTTTATAAGGTGGTTTCTTGCAAAAAAAAAAAAAAAAAGCTTATAAAAGATGGTTTTTTGCAAAATTTCCTAAAATTAACCTTTCTTATAATTTATAGTATTAAGTTGCTTTACAATGTCTATGAAGATTTAGAATTAAATATAAAAATAATCTAATTACATTTAAGGAAAGTAAATAAAATAGAAACCACAATCAAACATCAAACAAATTAGGTATGTGAAACTATAATTTAGGAGAGAAACTTAATTGGTTAATTGAATTGTATATAGATATTTATGCATTAAAATCAAAAGTGTAGATTAAAAATTGAAAAAAAAAACCATTAATAATTGATGACATCATACATAAAATTGGAGGGAAAAAATTTAATGTGAGAATGACACATAAGATTGTTTCATAATTGATAATGTTAGCAATGTTTTGTTTAGTAATAGTTAATACTCCCTCCGTCCCAAAAAGAACGACTCATTTGGCCAAAACTTTGTCCCAAAAAGAATGACCCATTTGCATTAAAACACCACCAATTTGCAACAATATTTGTGCAAAATTAGCTTCCCCATATAAAAATTTCATTTTCCATGTTATTTTATTACTTTCTCTCTCTATTTTTTTACAAACCCCATGTAATTTTATTTTTCCAATATATTTTTACTTAACTTCCTTAATACCCGTGTAATCACCCAAATGGGTCGTTCTTTTTAGGACGGAGGGAATAGATTTACAATGTCCGTCGGTTTAAGGATTGGAAATACTAATTGAAATAAAGATGAAACGACAAGCTTTGAAATTGATAAGAATGTTAATTAATAAGTAAAGTTCTTTTGTAGAATTACCTGTGTATAGGGTTGAAATGTTTTAGATAACTTTTTACAATTTTTTTTTTCTTTTTGTGCAAACTTTTTAAAATTACAAAAAAGGTAACAGAAAAAAAAGGTTATTTATATATATATAAAAAAGCCCTAAATTTGGATGGTACTTGATTACCCGAAAAAAAAGTCCTTAAATTTTAATGGTACTTTTTTTTTGAGAACAAATTTTAATGGTACTTGATCACCAAAAAATGATTGATTATTCTAAAATTTTATGGTACTTGATCACCAAAATTTTGCAAAAACAAAATAAAATAATATTCTATATTAACAATAGTGAGAAAGTCCACAACCCATCAAATTATAGTCGCATATAAAAATAAGTTGTTTTGACATTAGATCACCTAAATTTAAAAAATAAAAATATAAACTTTATATTATGTATAACTTTGATCATTAACCATTCTCTTAGCTGTATTAGTCAATGGAAGAGCTAGAAGGGTACGTAATATTATGGAGGTCATAATATAGCTAATTTAAGAAGTGATTATTTTTTAAATAAAATTATTAGATTAGAATATCATTGCACACAACTAATACAATTATGACTAGTTTTTGTCTAAGGGGAATATTATGTTGATTTGACCAAATATCATGTATATTTTAGGTTTTATTTAATTTGTACTAGTAAAAAATTGATCAATTGTTAGAAAAATGACCCACATATTACTTCGTAGATAGTGACTACTAGTCCCTTGTTGAAAAAAGAGAAAGGGATAGATTGACAAACATAAAATATCGGTAAGCAATGTAATTTACCAATCACACCAATTAGATTTTATGCTACGGCGTATGCGCTTATATGCAATCAATAAATTGTCGTCGGGTGGAGGTAACCCCTTAAACACAGACTTACTCCCCTACCTCTTCCCTTGGCTAACAAATTTAATCATATATAGTATACTATTTACGTCCTTCACATCTCCAACCAAATTCAACATTTGATCTAACAATCTGAACTTGTGATGTTTTTTTTTTTTGGAAAAAAGGTTCCTTTGGTTCTCAATTAGTTAGATGGTTTGTTTATGTCTGATTTTTTTCTATAAAAATTGCATGTATTTATTTGTCTTAGATAATGAATGAGGCAATCATTATTGTATTCTTCAAGCTTAACTTGGAGAGACATTCATTGTGGGTCAGGGCAATCTAGTGGAACCATAAAAAAAAAAGTACATTTATTTACCGCGGTTTAAAGCTATTCATTTGCTTCGTTTTTGGAGGGACAGCAAACCCGAGGGGAGCAAGATGATGAATGAAGTACCACCCAAAATTAATTAATTAGCCTAGTTATGGGAAAAGTAGCTCCTGAAACTTACAAGGTGGTCAATGTTTCTCATTAATACCAATTTTTCGAGTTAACATTCTTAACACCATATGCACAACATGATATTCAATAGTTACAAGAAAATTGTTAAATAGTGACTCAAAATCTAACAGGACTGACTTTGAATGCAGATGTCTCTCAAACTACAAGTGATTTTGAGATTATATATGTATTAATTTTACATTCTCCATTATTATGTCATTATATTATATATGTATTAATATTATCTTAAAAATCAACACTAGAATTTTGTCTTTATTAATAATAAACATATATTTTTGGGTTCATGGTTTTACTTTAAAATTCATTTAAGAACGAATTATCCCCCATAAAAACAAAACCTGATTTTTTTTTTTTGATAAAATTATCCCCCATAAAAATAAAAAGGAAGAAGAAGATCGAGAAAAAGTTTCAGTTTTATAAATGTACGTACGTTGAGAAAAAAATTCATATTCTTATATGTTAAGTATTTTTTTTTTTTTGATAAGTACTTCGTATTATTTAAATTTAACTTAATGATAACTTTTTTTTTTAAAATGTCAAAAGTCAATTCAATAAATGAATTAGATGGATTTTATTAATCGGAAGGTTAAGATTCACTCAATACATATAATGACTATAGTTTTAATATAGCTATTGCAAACTTTTTTTTTTTTTTTGAAAGCATTGCAAACCATTATAAGTTATCTATAAATAGTACAACCAACAGTCCAACACTATATATGTAGTATATCATTAATAATTCATTATGATATACAATAATATACGAAGTATTAAACAACATTGTAGCGAATAGATGCAACACACGTACGTACTTAACTAGCTAGTATTCAAAAAACCCGAGAGTGATTATTAGTAAGCCGAAATATATATATAGTTAAATCTTGATGGATGCAATTGGTCTTTCTCCTTTGGGATGATACTGAAAGAAAATCTGCCCATATCCTTTAACAGTCTTGTACAAAGGAGGTTGATTTTCATTCACCAATTTCTTTAATGGTCCAATTTCCATCTCTGAACTTGGAGCACAAAACATTGCTACAGATAGCCTTTCTTTCTCTGAGTTTGCAACCACTCTATGGACTGCACTCTTGAATATCCCGTTACTCATTATCTACAAATTACAAAATTTATTATTAAAAAAAAATCAATTTATTAATGTTTGGCATCTTTTTTTTTTTCTTCAAATTTCATTTTGTAAAAAAAAAAAAATCAAAAACAAGAAATAAAAAAAAAGTTGTTTCCAATTTTCTATTGTCAGTTTTCAGTTTAAAATTATCATGATTTTAATAAAATTGACTAATTTTTGAATCATTATATGACATATATCACATGATTTTTAAAAACTTAAGTAATTTTGTTGAGCATAACCAATTAAATGCGTAAAACTTGATGTACATATCCAAGATAACAAATGACACCCAACTTGGCTTGACACATCACTTATGATTGAAGTATTGATAGGTGTTTAATTGGAAAAACAATCTCAATGTTATAAGGACTTAGATTTATTATGTTGTGATTAAATTATTAGTGATCTCTAGCGCATCATCATCAACGTCAATAAAATCTAACATGCATAATCTATTAATTCATAAAATAAGACATAACGACATAATATGGCCCCCTAGTCCGTCCTAAGAAACTAATTAAACTTGAAATGCTCCTACTTGAACTTTCATATATTTCCATCCACCTTACTCCTTTGAACCTTTTAGTTCATGGACTTCTTGAACTAGACTATTTAAATAACTATATATACGTCCTTTGTTACTAGACTTATTACTGCGTCGTACTATTTATTTAACAATAAAATGTTACATTATTTTGCTCGTTAGTTATTGTTAAGTTTAATTTTGCACGTCTATATATTATGTGATACAAGATCTAAGAAATAGAATACTTGATTGTTAATTTTCAAAATGACCGTAATAGCTAGTTTGAGTTTAATTTTGTCCACTAGTTTACATTTTAATGAAATTTAAATCGATCATTAAACAAAAACGTACCTCCATTTGATCACCAACGTTAACAAAGAGAGCATTAGGGATGATGGGGACTTTAAACCAGTTATCATCTTTGAGAACTTGAAGGCCTTCAACTTGTTTATCTTGCAAGAGGATTGTCATGGCGGATGCATCCGAATGTGTTCTCGAGGCGCGAACTAGCTCAGGAAACGGACACTTAGGGTAATAGTTTACTCTAGCTTGTATTCTCACGCTTTCACCATATTCCTCAAGGAAGCTATTATCTTCTAAACCTAAACATCGCGCTATTGCTTGAACTATTGTTTCATTCACTTCTTTCACTTTCATGGTGAATTCATGCAATGTTCCCCTGAAATTCATAGTATTAATTAGATAGGATGGATATGAAGCATATGGACTTGCATGAAAATGAGATATTTGATATTTTGATCATAAGGGTTGAATAAAGAAGGTTATTATATATAAACAGATTAATTACTTTTAGTTCAGGTAGCTGACCCCACTTATGAGATTAAGGCTTTTGATTGATTGAATTAGAAAAAAAAATGTAACTTTCCTAAAAAAAAAACACATAATTCTCACCATGTAATCTAAACTTAAGCTAACTCGATCAAAAGTCAAAACTAATATAATCAAATGGAATATATTAAAGAAATTAATTGATGAATGGGGAAAAAAGGGTTTCTAACCTAAAATCAGAAGGATGTTGAGGCCAAAAGGCTAGTCTTCGTAGATCTTCAGGATAGACATTGAGATATAAACGATCATTCCAATTATGAGGTACATTTCGCGACAAAACGGTGTCGTTTCCATAGCCTTCAGGGTCATTGGGTGCCCTTAAATACTTCATCCTCTCCTCTGCAGGAAGTACAAAGAATTCTTTGCTATTTTCACGTATTTTATCCAGAAATGATTCCATTATTCCATGATTTATGAGCTGCAATGTTATGAATATAAAATTTAAGATAATCATGAAAAACAAATCATTAGTTGAGTTTAGACTAAGGGCTTGTTCTGATTTACTGAACTGATGAACTGAATTGATTGAAGCTGAAATGAATTTTTTATGAGTTAAAATGAAATTAGGAGTTGAACGAAACTGAACTGAAATTAAGCTGAAGATAAAAAGCCCTAAATAAAGTTTTGAAAAACTTGTCAAAAAGAATATTTTATGTAACGGAATAATTGTTATATGAAAAATGACTTTTTAAAATTGGTAATTTAGTTTAGGACCTAAAACTCTAATAGTACATTTGTTGACCGATAATTTTTTAAACTAAACGTTACAATTAATTCAATATCTAACCTTTAAAATGGAATAAAAGTTTTACCCACTATATAATCTACCCATGCCATTATATATAAACATAAAAAACGATAAATAAAGTTTAATTAAAAAAAAGTTAATAAGAACCTGAAAGCAGCCCCAGGAAACAAGAGCAGAATGAAGTTTTCTGAGCTCCTCCGCAGCCTCAACCTCGGACGACAACAGGAGAGACATGTCAATGACAGGGCAGTCCATCCAAGGAAGAGCCGAGGGATCGGCTTCCAGGCTTCCGTTGGTGGATACCCTAGTAAACATTTCCGGTACATCTTCGCCGGCGGTTTTTAAGATATCTGCAACAGGCATGGAAGGTTGTTCTGGTGTTACTTGTACATTCTTGCTAACTTTGTATGAAGACATGCTCATAATTTTAGGAGTTAATTTGGATGTAAATTTTTTTTTGATGCAATAATTTGGTTTTAAATTGAATTATCCTTATTATATCCCATCAAAAAAAAATAATTTGAATTATTATTATTGGTGTTTCGGGTGAAAACAATGGGACCTTGTCGAAGGTCCGATGAAGTGGAGAAGACTAGATTCGATCCAAGTAATGTTGGGCCGAAGGTTTCCTGCACAGTAAACACACGTAAACTAGCCTCGGGGGTGTTGCCGAGGAAGGCCCCTCCGATGCTAAAGTTAGTACAGTGCGTAGAAAGAGAAGACTATGCAAGAGAATTAATTGCTTGAGGCTTTGCTTGAATGAATGTACAAATGTAATATTGATGGCTTTTATACCTCTGCATACATGGAGAAGTTGGGCCTTAGTCCAATTGGCTTGCCTTGAGGACTGATCTTTGACTTTAGCACAATTGGAGAGATGAACCTTGACCTTGGGCTTTTAATTGGATCATTTAATGCCTAAGCCCAATTGGACTAAATTGGACCCAAACAACTTGCCCCCCAGACCCGATTTGGAAGGATGACGGGTCGGGTTTGATTTAATCAGAAAAGGAGGGAAGTGAATGATTTAATTAATCCAAAAATTTGAATTTAAACCGTAATTAAACCGTAATTAATGAGATAACAACAGTTAAGGCGGATAATTGTGGAAGTTGGACGGATAATGGGCAGTTTAATCGCAAGGTCGTGTGTTTAACGGTTACTTAGTGGGGTATTTAAGAGAAATTGAAACGCGGACTCCCCGTATTCCCATTTTTGGAGATATAATTAGAGGCGCGTCATCTCTCCTCACTTATTCACCAACACAAACCCAGAATTCTCGAGAGAACCCAAGAACCCGCATCAAAACTTCGCAAATTCCCCGAGCATTAAGCTTAGAAACTGAGACTTGCCACTACCAATTCGTAAATCGGCAACTTTCGCTTCAGATTAAGGTAAATTCCTTTGATTTTAGTTTATTTTTCTTCGAATTTGAACTCCTTCCCTTTTTTTTCGACTTTTTTCTTCGAAATTATCAATGGCGAGAGGAGTTAGGGGTAGAGCCCGTGCTCCAAGAAGAGCAAGGCCAATTCCCAATCCCAGGAACAGGATTGGGACCTGGAATGGACAAAGAGCAGAGTCTGACCCTGCTGAAGGGATTAGGGCGACTCCAATTTCCTCGGCTCCTCCTCAGAGAACGGAGGGGCCGAGCGCTTCTGGGCGGGACGATGAAGTTCCCGCTGTCCTTTGGGATATCCTTCCCGGGTTTTCAGAGTGGGAGGATGCCGAAGTAGCTTCGGCCATGATAAAGAACCGCCCCTACTCATGGTGGGTGGAGAATGCCGAACAGTATCGGTTTGCCGAACAAATTGAGTTGCATTACGGCATCCTTGAAGCTGATGGGTATTGGTGCTGAATGCCCGTGGCATCCGATAGAATCCATCGTCCACCCCCGGGGTATGTGGGGGTGTACACAAGACAACTTCAGTATGGGCTGAGGTTCCCTTTGGACGTATTCGTCCGAGACTTGCTGATCCATTACAATATTTCCCTATGTCAGCTAACTCCTACTAGCATCCGAAGGGTGATGACATACTTATGGGTCTGCAAGTTCTTCAGGTATGTGCCGAACCTGCACTGCTTCAAAAAGCTTCATCGGCTAGTGCCAAATATTCAAAGTGGGCACGGAAGTCATGGTTCTGGGTGGTACCGGATTGAGTCTCGGCCCCAGTACCTAACCATGTGGCCAAACGACTCTTCAGACAAGGACTGGAGAGGTCAATGGATTTGAGTTAGGGCACCCACGGACCCGGGCCACCCTTGCTTCTTCAGCGCTCCCCGGTACCTTGCTGAGCCTGATCCCGACATGGGAAGTTTAGGTCCCCCCGCAGATAACGACCCAGATCCAAACCTTAATCAACAGAATATCTTCGGCAAGCTGCCGAACCGGGGGGGCAGCGGCCGAATGCAACATATCCCGGAGACTTGGCTCCCCGATACACATTATGTTTTCCAAGAGAACATGCTATCAACTGTCGGCCTTAGCCGAAAGTTTAAGGATGGTAAGTGATAAGTGGTTTATTTGACCACTTATTGTGTAAATTTAAACCCGATTTTGCGATCATTTCCCCTCTTTCTAACCCAATTTTGAATGAAAATGTTTTGTCTCGGCTTTCCCCCCTCTTGGTTTGTGTTTGTCCATGTTTTGCAGGTCTATGGACTCAATTAGGCAGGTTTTCGGTGCATGAATCGTGTTTAAGACAAGAGGATTGAAGATTGGAGAGGGCGCTCCAGGGGAGCGGGCGTGCACCTCTCATGGAGCGGGCGCTCCTCGACTCTAGCCACATTCTGCCCAAGTTCAGGTGCTGTTAGGAGCGGGCGTGCTCCTCACCAGGAGCGGGCGCTACTCCCTTTGAAGATTGAATCTGCCCTTGCTGCTGGAACAGGGGAGCGGGCGTGCATCATGTGAGCAGCAGGCGCTCCTCCCTGACACTTTCAAATCTGATCCTTCATTGAAGCATTCTGGAGAGGGCGTGCAGCCGAAAGGAGCGGGCGCTCCCAGCTTAGGAGCGGGCGCTCCTCATTGTGGAGCGGGCGCTCCTCGCTGGGAATCCGTTTTCTTTTGACGGATTTCCCTATGTGTTTCGGGGAGTATAAATACTTCCCCTTTAGCTCATTTAGAAATGGGGTACAGTAGCCTAGTTTTCAGAAACCTCTCTTAGTTTGAAACATTCCTTAGGATTAATTTAGCTTAGTTTTCATCAAATCAAATCATTGTATTAGTGAAATTCAAGAATTATTCTCAAAGTTTGGCAATTTGTATTCAACATTTGAAGCTTCAATTAGTAATTTCTCCAACCTTCTTCCTTTTAATTTCAGATTTTATTTGGTATTTGCATGTTATTTAAATCTTCTTAGTTCTTGGTAATTTGTTATTGGATGATAGTTATTTCAATTGTTAACCACTTTTCCCCAATTATTGAAGTATTTAGAACCCTAATTCTTGATTGCATGTTGATAAACATGAGTTGTGAGTAGTCTTCTTGCTAGGGGTTGGGTGAAGCTCGACCTTTTGGGTTAACTATGCAAATGTGGGAGAAGCATTGATGTTTGTATTGCAATTAAATTGATTATATGAGATTGCTTGTTAGTTCCTCATGATAGGTTTAGCTACCCTTGACTAAGGAGCTTGATAGTATGATATGCCTAATTTGACATGGAAGTGTAAATTGAGTACGTCATTACTTATTGTAATTTGATTATGTATCATCTATTGCTAAACTAATGAGGAATCTAAGTTTAGTAGTGTGAGTTGTTTTCTAATTGCATGAGGTTGATTTTACATATAGTCCTTGCTATATCTTGTCTATTTTACTCCCCGTTTGCCTATTTGCCTTGGTTGAGTGGATCTCATTCCCTAGTATCTTTAATTCATTGATTTAGAACCATAGTTTGTTTGTCTTCTTGACGTACCCCAATTCACCAATTGACTTCGAGTTAGCTAAAGTGTAAAGATCTTTGGCAATCATATCCCGTTCCTTGTGGACCGAACTCTTACTTGTCATTATGCTTGGTTTGTAAGGTGTTTGTTAATAAATGTGTTTGATTGAGTGTGGAATGTACGACCGTTCTAACGCCCATCAGTAAGCTTCTTCGGCTGGGGCCGAGGCTTTTTAATTATCTCTTTTTCTCCTCTCACTTCGCTTTTTTATGCTGTGCCAACCTAACTGAACTGACCTTTCCCCTTTTCTTTTTCAGAGCGGGACGAGACCAACGTCGGCATTAACTACGCTCGTCTTGGCGTCAACCGAGAACGAGTTGTAACTGATCGGGCCCCCTCTATCACTGAACCGCGGCATAGAGAAGTTCATCTAGACTCTTCCCACTTCCAAATTGAGGCTGTTGCTCTGTATCAAAGGCAGAAGCCTTGGTGGAATAAGAGAGATCCATGGTTTCAGCTGCTGGACGAAGAAGCTGAAGCTGCCCGTACGGCCGAAGAGGTTGCACGGGTTATTGAAGCTTGTGAAGGAGGAGAAGGGTCCTCCAGGGCTGCTGAAGAAGAAGCTGCAGCTAGGGCAGCTGAAGAAGACGAGGCTTTGCTGAAGACCTCGGTGAGCTGTTTGTTGTTTTGTTTTTACTCACATTCTTCCTCCCCCCCTGTCTTTTACATTCTGAAGAGAGTAATAGACACAGAGAAGGGAAAGCCCCTATTCGTCCCGAAGACCAGATACAAGAAGAGTCCTCAGACTCAGACATGGACGAGCAGCCGCTTCAGAAAAGGCGCCGAAGAATGGCCATCATCGGCCCCCATGACTTTCAGCGGAGGCCGATGACCATCGGCGTCGAAATAAGGGAACCCGAGGAAGGAAATGGATCGCCGAGGGTTCCCCGGCCACCACCTCAATCACCTCCAAAGACCCCTCTGCCACCTCCCGAGATGGAGGTGGATCAGAAAACTCCCGAACCTAAGGGAGGGGTCCAAGAAGAAGTTCAAGAGAGTGCTGCTGAGCACAAGAATGAGGATGCCGTGATGCCTAGTGCTGAGGGTTTCACGGCAGACATTGCAAGAGAGGTTGAGGCCTTCGTCCTCACCCCTGAAGAAGAAGAGGTCATAATAATTGACTCTTCTGAGAAGGAGGATGCTGAGCCATCCAAAGTTAAAGAAGCTTCGTCGTCATCCTTTCCTTCCTTCCAGACTCTGCAATCTGGAGAAATGGGTTTCTCGGCCCCCCGAATTCCAATCCCAGATCACATCTGGGACCTCATATGGGGTCAGAACCGAGAAGGTGATGCAGCCTACTTCGGCGATTTTGCTGGCACGTCCGAAGTAGATAGGGCAAGAATCTGGTCGCTGAAGGCCACTGCTGGGATGGGCGAATCCAGCAGATCAGTTCCTGACCCAGCCAGGTCTAACCAACTGCTGATGATGCAGGTGATTTTCCTTGCCTTTATCTCCTCTAAAATTCAGCTCTATTTTTTATTTT